CCAAGAGTTTTCAAAGATCCATGCTAGAGGCTGGGCTATGATGCTCGCCAGCTCCTTGAGTACCCTGGGGTGAAGATTGTCAGGGCCGGCTGACTTGAAGGTATCCAGCTTCTCAAGATGTTCCTTCACAAAGTCAGCATTAATGGAGGGCAGGGGATCACCCTCACCCGGACTTCCCTGTCCCGTAGCGGGCATGGGGGTCCCATGGGGCTGAAGAAAGACTGACACAAAGTACCTATTTAATAGGTTGGCTTTTTCCTGAGCGTCAGTTGTCAGTTGCCCCATCTGTTTCAGCAGGGGTCCAACGTTGCCCCTGCTTTTCCTCCGGCTCCCCACATATCTGAAAAAGGACTTTTTATTGTCCTTGATGCTCAAAGCTAGCTGGAGTTCAGTTGCAGCTGAAGCTTTTAAAACATTATTGAAGCTTTTAAAACATTTTTTTAAATTTATGTTTGAACTAAGACAACATGGCAGCTTTTTGATGGTTCTTGCAAGCTCACATGCTCATTTCAATTGACATCACGTATGTACATATCTTCTAAAATAATAAATGAGCTTTTAAGGCATATTAAATTCCACATCTAAATCCACAGCATAACTTGACCTAAATAAGTATCATGAAAAAATATAAAAGTTAACTATAGCTCTAACATTTTTCCAGCTATCCCTCCTGAAAACTAATCTTTCTAACAGAGAGTATAGTACAATATTCTAGTATATCTGTGTTTCAGTATCTCTGGCTGTCTTGATTGCAACACTACTGCTTTATGTGCACTTTTACGTGTAAGCTCTAGTTTCCACAAGGACTAAAATAACCTTGACTGCTTTTTGCAGCAATGTTGCCTGTCACCCATTTTGGCAAGCTTTAATGGTAGCTAACCAAACAGAAACTCTGATATGTGAGCACAGAGACCCCCTGAAATATATATACAGTGAGTAACATTAAAGAAACTAAGCACTTAAGAATGTATAACAAGTCTCCAGCTAGGAAATACTGCTTAAAATCCTTGAAGAATAAAATATAATTTCTCTATTTTAAATAGGCCTCTTTCCTTTAATTTTTCCACTCTTACCTTCTTAGGTAACATGGACAACTTTAAGATATCACTGAGTCGAAGAGTTTTAGAAGGTTCAAAACATTATTATATATTTACATGGACAATAGTAATAGGCACCATTATGTTACATAGAATTAAAATAATATTTGCAAGGAATATGCTTGACCTTATGCTTCAGAGCATAATGTGATCCCTGACTGTTGGTGTGAGAGCATTTTATTATATAGTTGCCTACTGTAGAATTTCTTGAACCTCTTCTTGAATATCTGGTATTGGCCAGTATCAGAGAAGACAAGATGAGCCACTGATCTTATCTGCTATGATGCAGCGTATAGTTCAAACAAATTGTCATTAAGATAATAGGTACATATTCTGAACTCCATAGTTAGAGCAACGGAAGTTTGTGAGCTTTAGTTTCTATGGAAATGGACTGCAGAGGCTTTCCTTCTGTTTTGTAAACCATGTGGTGTGGAACACCCACCCCCTGTGACATACCCCAAAAGCAGCTACAGAAGGAGAAACGCTGGCACATGAACGTGTGTTCTAAACATGCATATGGCCCCAGACCCCACAATGTGCTCTGCAAACTGGTCTCAAGCCAGCAAAGTGCTTAAACTGTACTTAGTTTCAAACATTTAAGTAATTCTATAAAGGTTTAATGTACAACCTGAGCATTTGACTTAAAGGTTCAGTTCAACCCATTATAAAGCAGTTGGCCAGCAGTGGGTGAGTCAGATATTGCTAGGAATGGCCCTAAGATTTATCTCTGAAGTGCTATGTCTTTCATGAAGATGCACTTGTAGCAATAAATGACACCAAGTTGCTGGCTTTTTTCTTTATACTGAGCCACTGCAAACCTCTAAACTGAATACAGTAAAAGCTTTGTTATCTGGCATGCCCGGGGAATGGGGGATGCCAGTTAATCAAATATTCCGGTTAATCAAATGTGCACCATCTGGTGCGCTCCCTGGCATCAGCGTGCCGAGGGACAGGGAGGGGGACCCTGTGCAGGCCGCTTTGCCCTGGGCTGTGGGTCAAAGAAGTGGCAAGAACTCTGCTCGCAGCGGCGGTGAAACCCAGAAGTGGTACTTCCGGTTTCGCTTTTGCCGTGTCCCTTAGATGCCGGTTAATAGAGCTTTCTGGCTAATAAAGTGTCGGTTAACACAGCTTTTGCTGTAATAATCTTAGACATTGGGAAATGTTTCAGTTGTGAACTAGGCCCACCTCTAGTAAAAATGACTATCAGATGATAGTAAAAATAGCTATTAGATGACAATCAGGTGACTTAGTATACCTACACATGTTCACATGCATTATCTAAAATACCCCAGCTGGGGATTTTCAAGAGGTACAATGAAAACCTGTAAAGGCTGTATTATGCTAATCCTCTTTGAAATTTGCACAAAATAGAAAAACGCAATTCAAAGTCAACTCTCACTTTTTCTTTGTCTAACTAGAAAATTAGCCACTGAAAATATGTGCATATTTTTTTAAGTATTTAGGGTTTTGATTCTATAGACCTCTTCAGTTTTTTCCATGCTCAGTTCTGCACTCTTTATACACTCTCCTTCTGTAGTATTCACTGTCATTTTACAATGTCAAAACAGTGGCTGCATACAGAAATACCCCGTGCAGAGCTAACTCCTATAGCTCCAGAAAGCAACAACTTTGACGAAGTGCAAAAACTTCCCTTTTCAGGGCTGCAGTGCTCACAAACCCTTCTTGAATTTTTAGAGCAAAGTTATAAACATAGATTTCCTGCATACTGTGTCTTGATGTAAACTTACAGTTAAGACTGTACACAGTAGCTAAAGACACCAATTCATGTGCATTTTCATGTAAAAACAGAACAGTGGTTGCCTCCCCTTCTTGCAAAAATTAAGCATTAAGTGGGATTAGCTGTCTGTATTAACAGGTGAATAATAGCAAACTACAGCAACTTTATACAGCAAAGAAAGGGACAGAGGCCAAGGATGGTCCTAGCCAATGGTTAAACAGCTATTCCATTTCAGGTTACATTGCTTTATTGGGTCATTGCAATCATTTGTACCACCATTTGACTGCAGGGGAGATTCTTTTCTCTCCTGACCGCACATGAATGCAAAAACATGGTTATAATAGGTAAACCCACTGAATGGCAGGACTTGAAACATATCTAAAATGTTCACACAGGTTATTGGCAATTATATCGTGCTATTTATGCTTTGTTTATGCATGACTGGCCCTTGGCTCTGTTTGGAAAACTGGCTCAGTGTGCTGAGTGAAAAAATGGGTTTTGGACTTCAATCTGTACAGAATGCTTGGGATTACAGAAATATGTTGAATCAATACCTGTTTGAAAATATGCTTTCCACACTTTAAATAATAAATGTGAAGATAATGGCAAAAATTTTCAAAGGCACCTATAATGTTCTGGAGCTTAAGGGGATGACTCACGGCACCTGCTGTAGTGCTGCATAACCCCAGCTACTGGATTCCGGTTCAGGAGGCAGCACTCTTGGGACAACACAGCGTGGCTTGGCACATTGTGTTTGCAGTGTAGACATGGCTAAGTCCCATTCTCAAAGTAACTAGGGCTGCTATGTCTATTCATCTTCCCGTGCTAGGAAGTACCTTTGAGTACACAACACTGCTCTAGGTGATTTGCCTCCTAGACTGGAAGCAGCATAACTGCATTCCCACAGTGTGTCAGGGAGGTGTCTCTGTAAGAGGGGAAAGCCAGGCAGATCCTTCTGGGGTTTATGGGGCCTGGTCCTATGCAGGAATTCCTGGGGCGGGGCGGGGAGCTGGACCCCTCAAGGCCCGAGAGCACCTGGCTGGGGTGGCTGGATAGTGCGGGGTAGCTCGGAGCTGCTTGTGCTCTCCTACCATAAAGCAAATAAATGTCTACCATGAAAAGCTGGCACATCTTATTACTACCTTTTGTGCAACCACAAAAACTTTGGGACATGCGAGAGGGCATGGATATCTATTTGCTTTCACTTTGTGCCACCGTAAAAAAAAATATTATGGTGGCACAAAGGCGGTGTCTGTTTCCAGATGTCATCACTTTGGAAAAGCAGAGTTAGGCTCTTAGGTCACTGAAGTGGTTTTGAAATCTTTACCCAATGTGGATTGCCTAAGAAGTACTGATTTCTTGAACATCAAGCCACATAACGCGGCAACATGCTATACATTTTGGTAAACTGGAAAATGGCAAAACCCAGAAGATGGGGGAAGGAAAATGGACTGTTTCCTCATAAAGAGTTATCTGGTTTAATAGCAATGTAACTGCATTGCACCACTGGAATTATTTTTTATCTGCAGTTGCTTAAGTAAGAGAAGAATCAGGCATGGTAATTTCCAGGAGTTCTGTTTGTATCTCTTTGTATTTGAAGAAAATTGGTTGAGGACCAAGTTCATGTTTTCATTTTTATACACTATTTATTTATTGGATGATTTTTAAAAAATAATTTGATATACAAAAGGAGACGTTTACCTTACTGGTACCAGCTGAGAAATTATTATAATTTGCACACAATAATCAGAGTTAAAAAATGGAATTGGAATTTGATGTCTTGTCATAGCAAAGCCCATGACTAGATTATTGCAAAAATACTATGCTTTTCCTTATACTATGATTTTTTAGGGTTTTCTCCCACTCCAGCAAAAAAAAAATTTTTTCATATAATAATAATCAAATGGGACTTCAAGGGTGCATCTAATTGGGTGCACCTACACATGCACCTTAATGCACATTAGCCTATTTTAATGTGCTTTCAAGCATCCCTGAAAAAAGTGCTATTTAGTTAATGTGCATGAAGACAGGCTAATGAACATTGTTTTAGTACCTCACACTGGAGGTATTAGATTTAATGCACATTAACTCAAGTGTGTTAATGCACATGTAGAGGCACTCGTTAGGTTTTGGGTGAAGTATTCGTTTCAGGAAGCAGTTATCTAAGGAAGCCTTTGCATGCTTCCAACACCAGAGGGAGCCTTTTGATCTCTGTTGCTTTATCAATAAAGTATGTGCAAACCTATATCACAGAGGCTGCCAACCCATCCTTCTTCGCAGATGCATTGCCACGGTTTGGCACAGCTGCCGTGCAAGCAACCAGGAAAAGGAACGCACTGATTGCAGAGAGCTCCTTGCCAGCCAGGTTGACACCTGAAACAGACACAAGGAAAGATGCAGACCGGGTTCACAGTTAATCATGACTGGGATAGTCACCTGCTCAACCCACAACTTCTAAAGATAACACTGTTCACACGCTCTCTCTCTCTCTCTAACAGCTGCAAAAAGATCACTTCGGTGCTTGTAAAATACTGCAAACAAAGGATTTTGTAAAGAAAAACGATTCAAGGTGAAAGCAAGCAAGCAAGCAAGAGCAGCAGGAGGTGGGCCCAGGGACACGGGTATGGGTGCTTCAAGCCACCCTCTGATTTGCTGCGATGTCCGAGTCTCCAGTGGGGCTGGTTCCCGGGAGCCGGCTCCCTCCAGCCCGCTCTGCCCGCTGGAAACGCCTCTCCTCCGGCTGCTCCCTGCTCTTCCTTTCACAAGAGCAAATCTTCCCGCAGCAGCCCCTGCCCCGCGCCGGGGGAGCCCGTTACCTGCACTCGTGCGGGAGGTGGCAGAAGCCGTTGTCCGGGTGGCAGCCCGCCTTGCACTCGGTGCCTGGAAGGAGAGGGGAGGAGAGGAGAGGAGAGGGGAGCCACGTGCGGGCCTCTCCTCCGGCTGCTCCCTGCTCTTCCTTTCACAAGAGCAAATCTTCCCGCAGCAGCCCCTGCCCCGCGCCGGGGGAGCCCGTTACCTGCACTCGTGCGGGAGGTGGCAGAAGCCGTTGTCCGGGTGGCAGCCCGCCTTGCACTCGGTGCCTGGAAGGAGAGGGGAGGAGAGGAGAGGAGAGGGGAGCCACGTGCGGCCCCAGCAAGGAGCCCCCTGCC